TGAGAAAGCCGCCTCAATAGCCACAGAAAATGTTATGCAGCTATTTTTTGCAGATTGTGTAGGACCCTCTATTACAGGTAAACTGAGCATCAACAGCATCTAAATAAATATTTTGCAGTTGTCTCGATTTGTTTTCTGCTGGCGGGGCCCACACTGTCAGACTGTTTCGGGTTGTAACCAAATTCAACAGCAAAATGTTCTTTGCTAAAGCTTTGTAAAATTTAGAAATTTGTAAAACTGTATATGAATTAAAAATGCCAGGAGATCCACTGATATTTAAAAAGTATAAGAGTACATTTATTTACATTACATTTTCAAAGCCTCCATCAGTAAAATCTCTGTCCATTTTGGAATTGACTCTACTTTTACTGTATATGAGGAAATAGGGGGGATCTACACCTGCTGTTAAAAGTATTGTTTTTAAGGTAAAAATGTCAAAGTTATTCAATAAAAAAATAGATCTAGTGTTAGAACATACACAGTAGCTGTATTGCAGACTATAAACTAACACTGTCCTTGCTCTTCCAGCCATGCAGCCTACAGTTCACCCGGTGCTGATCCCCCAGAACCAGTTCTGTGTTATGTCTCTGGACCCAGACACACTTCCGTCCATCGCCACCACGCTCATTGACGTCCTCTTTTATTCCAACAGGTGAGATGTTGCTTGCTCTCGCCGCTGCAGTACCTCTCTAAAACACAAGGCGGCAGCACATGATGCAATCTAGACACCAGCTTGTAATTATTGCAAGTTTTACATTACTGTGCGGTCTCCTTTTAAATTAATGCTGCGTGTCTCCTCTTCTCTAGTCCTAAAGAAGATGCACAGTCGTCTCCCAGCCAGGACGTGGACTGCATCAAGTTTTTCTCCTTCTCCCTCATTGATGGCTACATCTCACTGGTGATGGACACTGAGGCTCAGAGACAGTAAGGATTTCTAGATCTTTTCACTGACACAGTTGACCTTTGACACCGTAATAATATGCACTTAAAATGCTTATATGATACAAACAGTGGATCAGCAGAAACAAACAGCATCCAGCTGTTTTAATTGAATGTTTTCCACTCTGTCAGCAAGTGAAGTGAGAGCTGCTTTGGGTTAATAAAGCTAGTGAAAGTTTTGTCTGTTACCCTTTTATCTGGCGGTTGATGATTTCCCCTGTCTATCTCTGAAATGGAATTGGTTGCTTGGTAGAAATCAGTGCTTGATCTTTGTGCTCTAGGTTTCCTGCTGATCTTCTCTTTACCAGCTCTTCCGGGGAGCTGTGGAGAATGGTTCGTATAGGAGGACAACCGCTGGGTTTTGGTAAGCCTACTTCCTTTTTAAATACCTCGAAATGTAGTAATTTACTCTAAATGCAGTTCAGAGATTATTGGTCATATGGTACAGTCCTATCTGCTTCTGGAACTGCGTCCCCTAGATATCCATTGTGTATGATTTGGCAGACTATATTTGTAGAACATGGCTGAAATGGAACGTAATATTCATAAAAATGTTTTTATTCATGTATAATCACCTGCAAATAAGAATCAGTGTGTATTGTTCATGTTTCACCTGTTAATAATTGTGATACTAATGTCAGTGCCTTTCTCCTCCACTCTGCTTTTTAGACGAGTGTGGTATAGTCGCCCAGATATCTCAGCCTCTAGCTGACAGCGACATCTCTGCCTATTACATAAGCACGTTCAGCTTCGACCATGCTCTGGTGAGTTCAGCGTCTTTCTTCTCGTCATTAGTTAGGCCACCACTGTTGTTGTCATGGAAGTCAAAACTTGAAACTGTTTATTTATTTAATACATTTGTGTCTCAGTTGTGTGAGAGCATTACTAAGAGTGTCTAATCACATTCTTATGCCTGCTGACAAAGGTGAAGGCTCCATCTTTATTCTTCACGATCTCACTGCTGCCTTTGATACCACCGATCGTGCCATTTTACTTGATACATTATAGAACTGGGTTGGCCTTCCTGGTACAACTTTAAAGTGATTTCCACTTCGCTCCTCAAATCTAGGCCTTTTATCCATTCCCCGCTCTAACTTTAAAACTAAAGGTGACCGTGCCTTTGCTGTTTTAGCCATGTTTATATTTATATGTTCCCCTTTGTATGTATATGATTGGGTATGGTTATGTATGTACACATTTATATGTATATATGCATATAGATACCCATATCTGTGTATGATTATGTGTTCATATTTATTTGTTTGTTTGTAAAGCACTTTTAACTGTGTGTTTTAAAAAGTGCTATATAAATAAAGCTTTACTTACTTATTAAGCAGTCAAGGCACAAGGAAAAACAGGTTTGAAGTTCAACAGTTGGGATAATTTTCACAAAAAAAATAGAAACAACAGAAATTACTGAAGGCAACTTAATTAACTGAATTATAGGGCTCTTAAAAGAGGTCAACAAATCATAACTCTGCTGAAAAATAAGGATAACAAAACAAGACCTAACAAAATGAGATATTAGAGCAGCTGATCAAACCAATAAATACACACAGGGAAGGACAACATAGACAATAACTGAAACTCAACACAAAAAAACAACGATGCCCCTATGTTGCCAAACCAGGAAGGGTTACTCAGCTGCCAGGCAACTCAAAGGCACAGAAAAATTAATTAACTAAACCAACTAGCAATATGACGAAGCAATATAAACTACATGTATTTGCTAATCTAGAAAACTATCAAGGTCCTAATAAATAAATAAATTATTTCTAACACCAAACAAACTGATTGTCTTTTATGTCATTTTAAGTGACTCCTAATGAAAGTAACTCACAATGAGGTAATGATGTGGATGAATATGACAACCTTACATTTGCAATTGTGTGTCCACCACACTCAAATAATGATTACTTTTAACTCAACTATTTAAAGATTTCAGGTTTGGTTTCTAAAAGTGGGAGACGTAGACAGATAAAGATCAAGCATATGTCACATTGAGCATTCCTGTGAAGTTGAATCATGAGGAATGCTTAAGGCAGGTGATTCCAAATAAGATTGAGGGTGTTTCTACTGACCCAAGCATGTTTGTTAATTTTAGAAAAAAACAGTATGGCCTTGTGAGTCTGGAAAATGAGTCTAATATATGATTTAAATTTAGATATGCAGTTGTTCATCCACGGTTATAAAATGATTGCATTCTGATATTTTGACCTGATAAAATAATCAGAAGTTTAGATTTCTCATTTAGACTTTGTCTGGATTTAATAAAACCAATTCAGGAAGGCATATGTTTTTATGAACCTTGATGTGAGTGTTTTTAACCAATTCTAGGCATATCCATGTGAAACAGTTATGGTGTGAGTATAACAAGTGTGAGTAAATTCAAGTACTACATATGATGCCAAAACTCCACACAGTTACTGTGTGATTTCTTTATCTCCTTATGAAATTTTAGGTTTCCCATATACCACATAGTGATTGTGTTAAATTAATCTGTGTCTGGCTGCCAACTTAGTCAGAAACTCCTGCCATCTGTGTTATCTTGAAAATTACCCAGAATAGTTTATCTGGGTCATTTGATTGCCATTACCCAGAACCTTATCGCAAAATGTCTGTCAGCGATTGAATCATGCAAAGCCGAATTTCCCTCCTGCATTAATGAAATTGATGCATTATTTATGCCTCTGTTGTCAAGAGTGGAGAAGACTGTAATTTCTTCAAATGATCATAGCTGGGTTATAATTGACCGTTTTTGTGTGTTTGTTTAACCTAGACTCTTTGACCATTGATGTAGACTGATCTCAAAGGTCTAAATATATGGCCCTGTCTCTTTCTAGTCACTATCCCCTAACAGTTGCTCTCCCTCCTACTTGCATCACAAAATATTCACACAACCTTCAAGTCTGAGATAGTTGGGCTGTTTAATCGGCCTAGTCACCAAATACTGACCTAATGTCAGCAAAAAGAGGTATGAACAAAGGTGAACTAGTGATGACGTTGAGTCTTTAGGTATTCCGCATATTCAACTGTTCTTTTCACAGTCTTACCATTTTTAGCATTAACTCACATACATAGTTGCATTATGCAATGTTGCATGTCATTGAGCTTAACATAACCATGCTGTGTCTTAGTCATACAAGATCATTGCACATATTGTGTCACTGAGATGGAAGAAACTTGTGCATTTGAGTGGGATTCTTGTTAACCACAGACTAGCATAATAATAGCAAATTCCATTGATTAAATAAACTTGCTGTGACATCACAGTGTCTTCCGCTCGTACAGTTCTAAGAAATGTCTACTTGGTAAATACGTGCAATCAGGGGTGATTATCTCTGCAGTGCTATTGGTAAGATGAAAATATTGTGGGTACACATTAGATCATTTTAATCACTAGCAATAGTCCAAATATATTTAATGGCATCAAAAAAATATTTAAAAATAATTAAAGCTTGTGGTGTGATTACATGTGTAATCCAAAAACAAAAAAGTGCACACTGAAACTTAAAACATCAAACAAGATCAGATTGGGACAATAAAACTCAATATGGCCAATCAGTTTAAAAAATGCCTTGATCGACACTAATACCCACCTTTGAGACTGGATTAGGACATCCCTACATTTTCTCCTACTTAGGGTAATGTTTACATATTTTGGCTTTATAAAGTGATAATATGTATGTGTTTACCGCTTGTTCTGCTGCCCCTAAGTGGCCAAAAAAAAATCAATAATACTGCTCTTTAACTTTGCTCTACTATTTTCTAGGTCCCCGAGGAGGACATAGTGAGCGTGGCAGACATGCTCCAGCATCAGAGGAAGGAACCAGCCACTAGTTGATTTCTGAAGTCCTGTCTGAGCTGGATGATCCTAGCTCAGTGTACCGCCCCCTTACTCCAGCTCCAGTGGCCAGGCGTGGCAGGCCAGCAGGAAAGGAGGCTAACTCTGTGCCTAGACTAGCACTGCATTGCCAGCAGTATTTACTACTACGAACTTGCCATGACCACCAGAAGCGCTTCTCAACGGTGTGCCACACTGTTTGTCTGTGAGGCCTCCTGTCTTACCTATCTAAGGCAGTTATGCACTGAGTCTCAGGGGGCCCACAAGCTCACACATGCACATAAAAATGCACAATCACTCCTAAACACACACACATCCAGACACACCCTCTTCCAAATTCAAATGCAGCACAAAGTCAGACATATGAACATGTATGACTCTCTTTCCCTCTAATACAGGATTTGGGATCTCAAGGTATATGGTCAGAAGTTGAATTTTTAATATTATTTTGCTGCATACAGCAGAACACAATCACATACAATTCACGAGTGCTATAAACATACAACTTAGTCTTCCAGTAATGTTTTTATCACAATGGGTCTAAACAACTGTTTGTTTCTTTAATTAAAGGCCATTCGCAAGAATTGCAATTTTCCTTTTTGTAAAACTGAACGTGTGAAGCTTGAAATGCAAGACAGTTGTAAGAATGTTGATCTTAAAATGATTTTCATGCAAAAGAAAACTGAGAATTTCTAACAGGGCTCACTCTATTTGGTTTGAGAAGAATGTGCAGGTAGTTCTTATATATTAAAACTACTACAAATGCTGTCAAGCAGGACAGTAGGCTTGGTTAGAGTTTTTTTTTTTTTTTAAGAGGTCAGCATTTCTTAACCATAGTATTACCCAAGGTCAATAACACTATGTCTTATTTTTTGTTATTTGCACAATAAACTTTTGATTTAGCTAATATCACTTAAATGTTTTCTTTGGTACAACTACATTTTGTACAATTTGAAGTAAAAGTATTCTGTAAACATTTGTAATTTTTGTGCTTCTTCATTCAATAAAGAGTATTGAAAATAGGCATGAGCCAGTCCAATTCTGAGGATCATAGCAAAGTATTGACTACCTCTTGACAGTTTTTTTGTCATTCATCACCAATGAGTCATGTATTTGAAGTGGTGGTTATTTAGAAGGTGTTATTTCGGGGTTTAACAGGAATGGAACAAGTGATTATAGTAATAATAATCATAATGAATTAATGAGAACTTCCCTATGGTGCTTGGCCTGCTTTAAAAGGAAGTCTTGGAGTAACCACATCACATCCAATGTGTCATGCCCTCTTTTTTTTTAAGCTGGACCTTAAGGAAGATGACCTAATAAATTTGTTCAGATTTCAACCTGAAAAAAACACTGTTTCTGCAGGAAAGGATGGACATTGAGGCTTCGATGGAATTTACTTGAAAAGCTGTTATTTAAAAAGCATCACTTTGTTCATATTCTGAGGCTGAAATGAAAAGTAATGTCATCTACATAGAAATGAGATGCACTTTTAAACCGATGATCTGTCAAAGCGGAAGCATCTACAAGGTAAACAAAACAGGACCCAGAACGGAGCGATGGGCCACACCAGAAGACGAAGCTCCAGATCAGGAAAGCTCCCTTCAGAAAGAAAATTGCTACAGTTTTAGTCTTTTGATAATGATTCAATAATCAGCAGCATTGAAGTGTGCACTTAGATCCAGCAGTGCTATTAGAATACTTTGAGCTGCTTGGCCACCATTTGTTTCCTTTTACCTTTTTTAAAATTGTTATAATAATTACTTGTCTTCATGGATAAAATGATTCTATATTTGACAAAAGAAATAGCAACAATTAAAGAAAAGTATGAAAAATGATTTTGTGTAGTAGAATATGTTTTTGATTCTTTCCCATTCCGTCAGTCATCCCTCAAACATATCCTGCAACCTTGGAGGAGAAATTGTCACTGAATCACTCAAAACATGATGGTGATGCTTGCTTTGTTCATGTCTATATAAACTTTTTTAAATTCTCAGATGCCTGAAAAATACCAAGTAGCCAGAGAAATGGTGTACAGTTTAATGTTTTGTTTTTTTTAAACTAGTAAGTCCCGTTATTGCACTCTATAAAGCTAACGACCTCTGTCTGTCTCTATTTTATGCTATAACTCTCTCTTTTGGAGTGTACCTGTCTGCAAGATATTATCTGAGGAGCACACAGAGGATTTAAGTCAGACCTCCCCTAAAAACTCTTAAGTCTGAGGCAACATGGTCATAACAAAAACTGTCATCATGGAATTCCTTGTGGCGTACGTGTCAATGTGGGTGGATGTAGATGACCAAGCTTGTCTCTATACTGTGTATATATAGGCCAGTTTACAGAATCAGAATCAGAAATGCTTTATTGTACCAATAATTGGAAATTACCTGGTTTGTTTGAATTAAGCGTCACTATGGATTATAAACTCAAGGGACTTCTAAGCCACTATGGTAAATATCTTTATAATATTTAATAGTACATTAAAAACAATATCACAATTATGTTGTTATTTGATGTATCTAATACGTTTAGTATGCTTAGGTCAAATGTCCAATAAGTAGTATCTTATATAATGACAATTTTTATTTTTTATATGCATTATTTAACATAAATGTGCTGGAGTGCGTATTTATTTGTTTCAGTAATAGTGTGAATACGCTGGACTGTATGTGTTTTCTTGTAATTCTTCAGTTGTACTCTTTACAGTAGAAGTTAACTAGGCCTCTTCCACCTTTAAAATTAAACTACACCTTTGTAGCCTTGTCCAGGGGAACTTGCAGTAATGTTAAAGGATTTCCTTTTCCTCTCAGAAAACAGAAGGAGTGAGAGCAGTACTCATAACAGGGAGTTATTAGAGGCATTATGATTTGAAGAATCTTAAAGGATTCTTTAAAGAGTGTTGCTCTTTCTTGTTTTATGCTTTGACTGCCACCTTGACAAAAACAGTGAGCTTACATTTGATTGGTGCCTTTAGCTCCCTCGGTTTATCTGAGACATAGGTTCCTAACATTATTGGCTTGTGACCCAACTGTTTAGCCCAAATGCAAAGAGAAATCCATCCTTAAAGAAGCAGTATTATTATACCTTATATTACATTTTGAGTCACCTGTGTCCACATGATCTTTTCTTAGTTCTTGTCTTGATGCTCCTGGAAGTCCAGTCGAGCCCAGTGCCTCCTGCTGGAACTCGAGCCGCCTCTGATGATGTCTTGAAACGTATGGAAGCTTATGTGAAGCAGTTGAAATGTGAAGCAAAGGATCTACTGTGTAAATATGTAAGTACAACATAGCATGGGCGGACCTAGAGGAGCGTCATTGTTTTTGATAGTTTTTTAATTAAATCAATTGAATAATCTGTTATGGTCACATTTTAGACAAAGTGATAGGCTTAAGATCAATGAAGAAAAATACATGGCGTGACACACAGTATCCTGACTTCAAGATAGAGAAATGAATAATAGCAGCACAAAACTTTAAAGCTGCAATCCTTAAGATTTGGGCCCTCATTGATCTCCTTTGTCAGAAATACAACAGTAGAGCAACTGGTGCATCTGTTTACAGTGCAGCCAAACCACTCAAATTGTTAGCAAAGAAGTTGATGGATAATAATTGCAACCACAATCTTATTTAAAGCAATGCACTGTGCGGTATATTACAGCAGGCAACAGTAAAAGAAGTTTGTTACCTCATTGAAGAGTTGGATGTCTGCACTGTGGCTACACCTTCTTGTTCCGTTACTCAGCCGTGCTTTGTCAGACAATACCAGAAATGATTGATCTGTTTTGTAGACACATTTTTTTTGGGGGGGGGTGTTTCATGTGAACTAGCAGCAGAAAGGAAATGTTCAGTTTTCAAGCATTAACAATACAGCTCCAATATTGTATGTGAAGGTTATTTGAATCCAGCACAGGAATGGTGGACTCCACCACTTACAATGAACACTACTTTATAGAGTTAAAATACAGTAAGTTTAACTGATATGTTTGTACCAATATTGTTGTTTTTTGAATTACTTATTTTATTTGTATCACCATTGCCTGGCTAATTTTCTCGTTTGCATAAAATGCTGTACTATACAATTATTCCTTTCACTCCACACTCATGGGGCATTCATTTCTTTTTTACAGAATCATTTTTATCGTACCGGAAATGCTTCAGTTCCAGACGATGTCCCTAACTCCACAGTATCTGGTAACAACTTCTCTGAGAAGTTGCAGGACATCTACATCAACAATGAGCTTTTTCATTTGCACATTTTAAAGGTAGAAGACTATCAGAAACTTTGGGGAAATCCAGCATCTGTTATGGAACCCCTGTCAGTCGTCAAGATTAAACTCACCTACCTCTCAGAAGTACTCAAAAGGCACCCAAATATGTCTTTGCCAACAAAACCAACCCTACCACAGATGTCCCACACTCATGACTATGAAAGAAAAATATATGGATGGGGTGTCATATTCAGACTGACAGACTGGGTGGAACAAGTACTAGAGGTACTTAAGACTATGGCAGAGTGTAAACCATGCAAGAGAAGTCTGAGAAAAATAACCCTGTAATAATGTCACCTGGTGCCTTTTGGGATGTGTGTTGTTGAGATCGGTGTGTTTGGGATTTTTTTAACCTTTTAATACCAAAATCTGTGTAGTCTGCACCATTATGACCATGAAAGCACAGACCTGTTGTGCATCTTTTAATATATTTATATATTTATTGTTGTTATTTATGGATATTTATTTGTTTTAAATGTGCATTAAATCTATGGGCAGCAGACTGAAATGAAGCTTAAATTACAATTATATATTCATTGAACATGTATTTATTTTTCTTAAAAGGGTTGATGAAAACAATGTTTTTATTGTTATTTTTATTATACATGAAGAGGAGTTACATTACAAACATGTGAAAAGGCTGCCTCGCTCCCTTTTTACTAGGCCTTTTCCAACATTAACAGTTTTTGTGTGTTAGATCAGTCCAGTGTTGTAGTTAATCTGTTATTTATTTATTAGTAATATATTAGTCAGGTAGTATCATTTTATTATGTTATTTCCTTTCCTGTGATGTCGTGCATCATTAGGTCCTCTTAGCAGCAGGGGGTGGGTTACTGACAAGTTTTCTAAGGAAGATTGCAACAGTTCTACCGGAAATTATATTTTGTTGAAGTTGGTGCGCTTATGAGCGTGTATGTGTGCCCTTTGGCAACTTCTGATGTCAGCAGTATCTAAGAAATATTAAATGAATGCTTTATTTATTATTTTGTATATTTATTATGATGTCTTGTATCTTTTTAATTCACAAAATGCTTACTTGAGAAGGTGCTATGTCTGTATGTATGTGTTGTTTGTTGTTCTGTACCAGTTACCTTACTTTACTGAACCAGTAAAGGTTTTTATGACAACAAACACAATGTAATTTTTTTATGGTAAGGATTGGACCTTATTATTATCAGTCCTAACCCACATAATATAAAGCAATTCAAAAAAATAGAGAGAGCTTGTCTGGACTGAACCAGGTTGACAAAAGGATATTGCCAAGTTGTGGTTGCCGTCACATCTGCGCACAGGAAGCATTGTGTGAAAGGGTTCAGAGAAGGAATGAATCAATCGAAAAGTCAATATGTCATTACAAAAGTGTGTGATGACAAGTGATGAACAACTGACGTATATAAAAAAAAGTTGTTTGTGAAAGTGTTTAATCTGAAATGATTCAAAGGTAAAGGTAAACAAGTCTTGAGACAGTAGAAGATATACATAATGGTAATCAAGAAGAACAAAAAGTTGTTAAAATATGATAGCTCTACTTAAAATAAGTAAAGGCAACTGATTTACTATATGATGTAAATAAGAAAATATTATTGAAATATTAGGTTTTGAAAAACTGTTGTAGAAGTATAGACTAACTTTCATAATGAAATATCAAAGCCTAACCTTTCAGTTTCTTCTTTTCTCTTGTTTTATGTATGTATGCATGTATATATATATATATTCATATTTTCCTTTTAATTATGTGTATGTTTATGCATGTGGTACGTGGATGTGGATGTGGATGTATACGCAAATATGGATGTGTACAATACAGTCAGTAACATCTAAACTGGTTGGCTCCTTATTGCTTACATATGCACTGTGTTTTCTGTATGGTTGAAAAATAACACAAAGTAAACATTTCAAAAATTGTGGCTAGATGTTTAAATAACAGGAAATGTATGAACGATGTGTGACACAATTGACACAATAAAGTATATTTAAAAAATCAAAAATGATGTAAAAATGAAATGGTTGTTTATCTTTGGCGTATACCTAGCTGTTTATACGAAATACAAATTCACTGTTGGGTACAGATCATGTCAAGTAAATAAAAAAAATAATATAACTATATAGAAACAGCCAATCTTCTCGCTGATGGTCTTTTTTGTTTATGTGGGTCATGTAAGGAATCAGTATTAGATTTAGACTTTCACAATCAGTTAAAAAGTCCTTAGTAGTTTCTGTGTTCTGCACTGGAAATGAGCAAACAGTTTAATATCTTTAGTTTCAATCTTCATCTTCAGTAATATGTATCATTTCCTTAAGTAACAAAGAGCACTGCGCAGGGTGATGACCTGTCAAAGGAACCCCATCTTTGGTTTGCCACTTGACTTTTTTCATCAAAGGATATGGCTACGTTAGAGATAGGGGATGTTTATCTCTGAGCACGTCTTTCACACGCCTCCTGCGAGCTGTGCAAATATAAAAACGATCTTGTGTGACTGTGATTGCATAACTATAGGAATTGGTCTTATTCGTAAAACTTGAGCAGAGCGAAGATGAAATACAGAGCAGGTACAGTATGCCATGTAAACTCACTTTCTTCATTCATTAATCAGTGTGTGTCAGAAGGCACAATTCTTCTGAACTTTCAAATTGATTTTTTTTAGGTTCTTTGAAAGTGGTGTGGGCCTGGATGGTGATTCTGATGCAAAGCTTGGATGCAGCACATGCACCAACAACCGCCGGGTTTTCATGCAAGCCAAAAGAGCAGACAGCCCTCACCAAAAGTCTAGTTAAAGACTGCTTGACAAGTTTTGTAAGTAACATAATACTGTGTGTCTTTACAGTATGTTTGAGGTAGTGTGTGCATTCATCACACTGGAATTTCTTGAGTTCGTACATTTTCTGTTTCAGAAGAAGAATGATGAGCACAGTCTTTTTTCTAAGGCAGCTCTTAGTCACAGAACAGACATGCACGCAGCGGTGGAAGGGGGATTTAAATATTTTGCAATAGCAACAATATCACAATGGAAAAAAAGAAAAGAAAAAAAAAGTCCAATACAAGAATAAGTTCTGCATTCAAAAGTTTACCTAAATAAAGAAATATCAACCACTATATGTATGATAGATGTTGAATGTTATAGAGATGCATCATTAATTGTAAAAAATATTACAGTAATAATATTACTTGCTCCCCTGTAACTAGTAGTGTAACTAACTACTAATAAATCACAGTAATAATGTTAGTCACCAGCAACTGGTTTGTGATCCAACAATCCAATCACAACCTTGGATTCATTTTTGTAATGGTGGAGGAAACTAGCTTGGAGGATGGAAGCGCCTAAGTTCAGCAGCTGTAAATATTCCCATTACTTTGATTTTTACAAACAAAACTGGTTTATAATCGTCAGAAGTCCGAATTTTGGGGAGAAGGGACACAATTACCAATTATGTGGGGAGTAGCAGAATAGTAATATAACTAGTTGTGTAGCTAATTACTGTTGGCAGGGAGTAGTAAGTAACATGTAAAAAATATTAAAATTGTACTTCATACAGAACTGAGTACATTAGCATTTTTGCATTTATAGGAGGTTGGGATGACACCCACGCTCTTGTCTGTGTAAATGCTTTAATCTTCAAAATGTGTCTTGACATACAGTAGTGAGCATTACAGTTGGCTTTGAAAACCACATCTTTTATTAAATCTACACACATATCTTGTGTCTGTGTGGTGTTTCTCTATGCTGAGAGGTCTTCCAGTTAAATTCACAGTTGGTCTTCTCTTCCAGGATGCAGCCAATGGGAAGCACCTTGGCACTTGGTCCCCAGGCTTCCCTGAGCTTGAGGTCCACGAGAACTCTACTCTCCGTGGGTCAAAGGTTCAGTGTAGCCTCTCCTTCATGGCTCAGGGCCTGGAGGAAGTCCTGGAGGACCAGGTGAAACACCTGAATACCGAAGATGTGTCACTTCACAAGAAGCTCAGGGACACCATCACCAGGGTCAAAAGCCTCACAGCGTGCATGAAGAAAATTCTCGGAGGGGAATGCTCCCCAAAACCACCTCCACCAAAAAAGCCCAGGCATGCGTTTGATAGGAAGCAGTGGAGTCACACTCTGTTAAAGACAGCCGGAGACTATCTGGACTGGCTGAAGTCTAAGCTTGGGGAACAAATTTCAAAGGTCAAAGGGCAAAATAAGATAAAACGCACAGCTACTGGGGCTACACGTCAGATGTACTTGGAGGGGAGTGGATACCTCTTGTAATTCTTTTTTCAACACAAGTTGATCTCAGTTTGTGATACAGGCATGATTACCCTTTTTTGGCACTGTTTTTTTGTGGTCTTATTTGTAATGTATACACCATATTGACATGCATTTAGGACATTTGCTGTCTTGATTTTCTGTGTAAGAATGAATGCATGAATTTAATGCAATTTTCCTAAAGAAATATTGTTTTAACAGACAGTCTTAAGTAGATACATTGCTGCTTATAGTTGTAATATGACATTTTGAGAAATTTATATATTCACTTTCAGGCTAATCCAACTTTAAAAAATGTTCCCAAAAAGTGCATCTGTTTGTCTAAAAGCTGTATGAAATGTCTTTGTTCAAATAAATGATACTTTTCAGCAAATGACACCGTTCCCATGTGACAGTAATTAATCAACTCGCCAAAGAGGCAAATGAAAGGGGGCTCTAATACATTTCTTAATTACGACAGTTTGTTTTCTCACCCTTCACAATGATTAATTGTTTTGCTCTGGCCATGTCTCCCTTGTGTGCGGGCTATGTTGCCTGAGGTAGAAAGAGAAGCTGATAAGAATCACCTTCAGAGAGCCACCAGTTTGGACTCCAATCACCGTGTTCCACAGTGAAATTTGTGGACAGATGGACAGTGCATCGTAAGGCAGATAAGTCTGTCAAACACCCATCAAAGCAATGCAAGAGAACAACACTGTAACAAAGATTAATGTGGGCCTCGCCCTCCTCAAATTAAGTGATCAATTATCATTCAATACAAGTTTTAGTGTTTTGGGGGTCTGAATGAGCTTTAAATGAGTCTGCAGGATGTTAAAAATCAGCAAAGTTCCTGAAATGTTACGTACTTTGGAGAACATGGACGCTCTGTTCACTATTTCTATTAATATAATGCTCATTTTGACTAATAAAATGTAACACCTGGGATTTCAAGTTTGCTTGCTCCCCTCGCACATTAAACCCATGTTCTCCTTAGCAAGCTTTAAAATACATTATCTTCTCTGGGCAATTTGTAGCTTTAAAATTCTTAACGTGGCTATAACACTTGTTTACGATAAACTGCGCTCACTTTACACTTCTAACACAACAGTTCATAAAAATATCACTGCCACTATTTAAGAAATTCTTTCACCTTTCATACACTAGCATGAACTACAACCCATTTCATTTCACAGTCACTTTTATTAAATAGCAGTTATGCATGCATTATACACAGAAGTAATGACACATTCTTTGCTGTTTTTAAAATATTCAACAAAACATGAAACAGCTGTTACCTTATTTAAAAATGAAGCCTATCTTATGACGTGAACCGGTTTGAAGTGGATTCTGATGGATGAGCTGCCTGCTATGTAGACCTGATGATCATCACGGATGAATGTATGAAGCGTTCTATGCACTTATGAAGTGTAAATAATCTAATCTAATCATTTTGAGGTTGGTCTTGGATGTCTCCCTCTCTTTGCCACTATAATGCAAAAATATCCAAGACGGAAGTTCATTTGCAGAGAGTCTCTTCCCCGAGCACCCAAACAGGGACGTTTTTATTGGCCCACTGCTGTTTCGGTTCTTCCCAAACCCTGAGAGGAAAGTTCATACAGGAAGGAGCTCTGGAGGACTCTCTCCATAGCAGTACTTTGCTTGAGGGTTTCGGTAGGTGTTCTCATGTTGAACACTCTGCATGAGAGGACAAATAAAAATAATTAAAGAGAATACATTTAAGGATGTCTTGCAAATTGTGTGTGAATAGTGCATGTGAATGTACATGGGTGGGGACATTTTGTGGTAAACAAGGACTGTGATAACACAAGACATACTTTCATCTCCAGAAAACATAAAAACACATGAATTTGTTTGATGCTCCTTTTGAAAGCAAGTCATTAATTGGAGTCTTATCTCTGGACAATCTGTGGAGGATATAAAACTAACACAATAATATTCATAAAGAGAACACCCAAAATATGTTGTTGCTAGTTTTGGGCCAGTCAATTGCAATGAGTCATAGTGATGCACTAACGAAAGTTGTGCATATCTTTTATCTGGCGACTGAGTAAAATATTGAATTGCCCAGAAACAGGCGGGAGGTGTGGTTGCGTATCTGAGATAACCCCATGCTACATTTTATACTGATTCTGAATTTGGAAAGTTATGACGGTGGTCTGTCAGTTAATTGTTTGAATTTTGATCTATCCCATAACCTACTTGTGAAGAGGTCCTACATTTGGCCAGGCACAGCTCAAAATGATCCTCCACAGCAGTGAAGAGATTCTGGAAACCTTCAGCAGCACGATTCAGGAAACGCTCAAGGAGAGGTTGCTGAGGAAGAAGAGTACACAGATAAGAGAGTGAGAATGTGTAAAAAAAAAAAAAAAACACAAGTGCTGATTTGAATCTATTCAACCTGTTCTTTCTCATTGCTCATTGTTGCTGCTATGAACAAAATCAATATTACATTTTAAAGCATAGTGTCTCAATTCTTACATTTCAGGATCGTCCATTACAACGTATGCAATAAGCAGATGCAGCATGTGGACAGCACATCCTTGATATGACAGATTACCTTATCAGGCTGGAGGCAACATGACACGCAATACTCATAGATGCTGCAGCAACCATTTGCGAGGCAGCTTTTACAGATGTACTGTCTGCTGCTGGGAGCATTGACGTTACAGCAGCCGTTAACCAGCAAGTCCTTTCTCTCGCAGACATAACCTATAAAACATTAACACAGATAAGCACATATATTGATTAAAGGCAACAAAACAGTGTCGCAGAGCTGTTGTCTTATCACAGCTGTATGGTGGTGAGCAACGGCTGCATTACTCACCAAGTTCGTCTGTGAGCAGTGTCTTGCCCTGGATGGAGTTTCTGCACTGAGTGATCTGACGGCTGCTGTTTCCCAGGTTGAAACGGACTTTCCAGGGGATGCGATGGTCTGAATCTCTAACCTCTAAGAGTGTGCGGTCCCGTATGGTCCGCTCCTCCTGTAAAGTTCACACAGGATGTGGTCGTGAAACGCCATCAAAGAGCAACTTCATAAAGGTTCAGAATAGGGTCAGACAATATGATGATATAAAAAGTGAGAACATACAGTAGGGATGGAAATTTACTGTTTTATTCCCCCGATAATAATGCTGATATGATATCTGAATTTTGGTAATAATAATAAAGCAACATTCTTTGATATCTTATTTTGAGAACTTGTTTTTTCTTAAAAACAAAGTAATCACATTTTAAACAGCTTTACAAGACCTTTGCCTAAATAAGTACAGAAAAATGTGACAAATTTCTGATTTTTATTAGAGCAGAATCATTTACATTAGACAATTAACTGATAAGCCGATGGAGAAAAAATAGAGCCCTTCTCAACTTTACTGCTGTTTCTGTTCGCTAAACTGAATATTTTTGCATGCATTGCTTGACTGGACAAAACAGGTGATTTAAATACTCTACGTCATTTTGGGCTTGGGAAAGAAATTGTGGTGGAAATTCTAGGGAGAAATGGTGGCTCTGGTTCTCCAATTGAGTCCAATGGTACCTTGTGTGAGTGTGTGATGAGAAGCAAATTGTAAAAAAAGCACCATATAAATGCAGCAAGCCATTTAAATGAACCCAAAGTGACCAATCAATTATAACAATTATATTAGTTTCAGCCCTAAAATCTGTATCTTTATTATCCAAAAATAAGTCTACAAATCTACCATCATCATCATCATCATCATGTAGCCACCACTTAGATATCAATTGGTTTAAAGCAATATTGGGTTTACAGGATTTTTACATCAGTGTGAAGGAGCACCTTTATTTGTCAGGGTCTTTCTTGTGTGAGCCAAAAACAGACATTCCCATCTGGTTATTTCATCAATAAAAAAAGGTTACTCAATAGAATTTCTACACAGTGTAATATTTTCTTTTGTAAGATAACCCACCCCTGCTGAAGAGGACACCACACTTTGCTTTAAAGTGGTGGGAGTTTCTGTACCTGTTTGAGTGTGCTGGTGAGAAAGTAGATGAGAGACAGTCCGAAGACTACTCCCAGCACCCAGCGCTTTCTCAGTAACCGCCGTAGCACCATCATAGCATGGCTTTCTTGGGGAGATGCCGCTGACAGTGGCGGTCCAAAACATCAAACCTCCACGGCTATCTACTGCCTGACTGACGTATTTATCACGAATATGTAGTGATGTGTGCCTGCGTGCTGATGGCCGACTCGATAACAGTAAAACCGGGCAAAACGGGTCCTGTTATCCGACGTTAGCTAGCTTTATCAGACAGCGAATGTGACAAATGCATAGTTACCGAACAGTGAACACGTTTTATCCTCAGAGTCGGGACAGCCGCGTTAAGCTAACCCATGCTGCAGGTTAAGGTTACTCGCAATGACACTAAACGAACAATGGCAGTCAATGTGAAACACTGTGTGAAACAACTCAAAACAGTGAACTGCTGGGCACGTCGGTTAGCTGCATTGCATTGTAAAAGACTGCTTTGTTAGCCTACTAGCTAGCTGTCGTTAGCATCAGCTTTCAGTCTTAGATAAGCTACACACTACTGCTACACTATGACGCACTCCAGTGACGCAGTTTCGCCTCCTTTGAAGAAAACGCTTGTGTTATGTCACGCATTACGTCTAACGAGCACCCATCGTGGTATTTATCCAGCGAAATCTGTCATCCACCATAGGCAAAACAAATTTCCAACACGGATGTGGTCTGGTGGGAAGGCGGACGCTGATTGGTAAGATAGGCGCCCTCGGTGACGTCACACAGGAAGCTTTTCGAGCCTGACCCGTCGGAGCATCTTCTGCAGCAGCGACATCAACCTAGCTAGCCTAACTATGGCAGGAGCTGGAGCGCAGTTCACTGAACTGATTCAGGTACAGTCGTCTAAAAAATGTCCCGCAGCGTACTGTCTAACGCATGCAACACACAGAGAGCTGAATAGCTTAAGATATAAGGTGTAAGCCGGCCGCTGTCAGTCATACACTGTTGATGTTGATTTGCATTCGCAGGGCTGGACCATGTGGTGATGAGAGGTATGCCATGCAGAGGAGACACAGCAGCAACACGGATGGCATGCCCTCTGAAAGGTGAGAGCAATCACAAGTACAGCTGCTGTTTCAACCGTGCGTGTTGTCCCCATACACTAAAACTATATAGCCAAAATGATATGCCCCCCCATGTTCACATACATACAACATTTCATGGTTACACTTCAACGGGCTGTTTATTAAAAGGTATTTTTTGATCCAACAGATGTCTACTGTTTCCCTGCAATAATACTAAAAGGACAATGTTTAAATGTATGCAGTATTAACTAGCCTTCCTTCCGCACACATACACTCATACATAATGACACAACAACAAAATATTACATATTAAAAGAATGTACTATGTAGGATATAAAAAATGAAGCAGAACCATCTTCCGGGCTAATGATCTTTTTTGCTTCTGTTTTTTTTTTTTTCTACTCAGGAGTCGAAGCCAAACTCTTGGATCAGAAAGCAGCCTGGATGAGGGTGGTGTGTTTGACTGCCTAAAGCCCGACTCACCCTCTTCACCCCAGCAGATCTTCTCCGGCCTGGTGGGTGTCCCGTCTAGCTCTGTCTCCTCTGCCCAATTCCAGGCAGCTGGTTTAGTCCTGGGCTCCCCCCCCGAAGTTTTTATCCAGATGACTGCATCATCCAGAGAAGAAGGGGGCCCCCACCGCACGGAGGGTGGACCTTTTCTCCCTCGGCCGCCCCAGCACCACCATCATCACCACCACCACCTTCACCACCATCCCCTGCAGCACAGGACCTCCTCTCTGCTCCAGCAGGCCAACACAGCAGCCACCTCGGAGAGGCACAGCTCCAGGGAGGAGGCCCAGGAAGACCCGTCCACCCCGGCCCCAGCACTGTCTGAGCTGAAGGCAGTAGTCACATGGCTGCAGAGGGGCTTCCCCTTCATCCTCATTCTGCTGGCTAAAGTTTGCTTTCAGCATAAGCTAGGTACACCGGCTTGTTGAGTAATAGTGCTGCTAACATTGTCTAATAGTACTCTACTTACAGCAGAGAATCATTAGCAGCATAAGGTTTGGTTTAGTGATGATGTTGCACTTCTCTCCTCCAGGTATTGCTGTGTGTTTGGGCATGGCCAGCACATTCGCCTATGCCAATTCTACGTTTAGACACCAAGTGTCATTACGGGTAAAAAAACTAAACTACAATATATTAACACATGCACATACAGCTATTATAACAATGACAATGTCTGATATTTTCCAATGTTACCATAAACGAGTGCGGGTACTGATACACAGTAAGTCTTAGATCAAATTCAGGCTAAGCTTTTCAAACATTAGTCTGGTGTTTTCTTATTGTCAACAAATCCCATGAAAATTCCAAAAACTAACAAATGAGTTATCACTGTCTCACTTCCCTATCCTGTCTGTAGCTGTCAACCTCAAGGCCCATTCATTCTTACTGAAGGTGTAAATTGAAAAAAAAAAAAATTGGGTTGCAAGTGTAGTTTTCTTTTTTATTAAAGGCTCAGTACTTTTCCTAAAATGGCTGAGCAGTGTAGTTTCCATCAAAAACCACTCAAACAGGAGTAAATAGTGCATTTGTAAGGGACTATTTTCAGCCGTGGATAAAGACACATTTGTTGTTCAAGCAGCAGGATGTTTGTTATTGTTGTGTATGTTGGATTGACTCAAAATAAACTTCAGTGAAGAACATATTACCCAGTGAAACGGTGTGGCTCATTGGGCAACAATGGAGCTCTATGGTACAGAGGAATAAGATAAATCAGGCTTTGGATACACATACTGTGTTAGTCTTTTTAATGAAATTTGTTGACTGTAAGAAAAATATACAGTTTCACCAGCCTTTTAAGTTACTTAAAATCTAAAAAACATAGTAATATTATTGTTCTGTTCATTTGACAGTTCCAATTGTGCTATCAAATCTCATTAAAATCTTGCAATGAGCTGAGCCTGGTTATAGGCAGAAGAATTTGTGCATCCCTGTATATTAGTGTTAACATGCTTTTTCGTCTTTCTTCACATACTCACATCTCGAACACAGAACAAAACTCTGTCTCTCTGCATAAAGCCTTGTCTTGAGTTTGTTCACCTTATTTGGTTAAGTACTTGTTTTACAGTCATCCTCATAGTATAGAGAGCATTTAGTGTATGTGGTGAGCAATGGAAGCAATGAACAGTGAAAGTAATGAATCAGCAGTGTTAGTGAAATTTGTAATCTCTAACTCTTTTTTTTGTTACCAGGAGGAACGTTCTGTATTTGTTGCTCTGTGGATCGTCATATTCCTTGCAGGGAATATAGTGTATATCTACTACACATTTAGTCATGAGGAGTTGCACAACAGGTAGTGTACAACAGATATTGTTACACTAGCTGTGTGTTGTTTTTTTTGCCTGTCATGTTATGTTTTGGTTTTACTTTATATATATTTTGTTTTTTCCATTCATTTTGTGTTGTGTAAGCCATTTTATTTTTACTTCCATTTCCTATAGGGAGTGTTCCTGTTCTTGTCTGGTCTTGTCCTGTGAGTAATTTTTTTTCATTATTTTGTTTTCACAGAGTTTCTCCCATTATGTTAAACATTTGCCTTGCTGTTGCTTATCATTTCTACCCTCCCCAGTGAAAACACCAGACCTCACTGTAACAAGTCATCTGGGTGTTGTTTTCTTTTTCTTCTAGCCTCATATTTTCCAAGCCCAACCTCAACAGCTTTGACTTCTTTGACCTGATCTGGGCAGTGGGAATCACTGACTTTGTCCTTAAGTACTTCACCATCGGCCTGAAATGCTTTGTCCTCTTTTTGCCCAAGATTCTCCTGGCCTTTAAATCCAGGGTAAGCAATCCACATTTATTTCTCTGACCCACTGTACATCTACATCTCTAAATTTGACTTTTATTAAGAAATGTTGACATGTTTTTCATTTCACTCTTACAGTTTACAGAATATCCATAAATCATAACTATAACCTATACAATTTTAACCAATTCAATGACCTCAGCAAACAATTATAAAGGCATTCTAATAGACCAATTTTTCTTGACTGTGTTGTGCTGAAATTAGTCATTTTAGTTTTTTAATTTGTTTAATAATTTAAAATATAGCAATAATAAATAAAGCAAAAAGACTATTTGCTGGATCCAACTTCTCTAAAGTGAGGATGTGTGTCTTTCCTCTGTTTAATATTGTAATATAGAATTGTTGCTTTAATTATGTGCATTATATTTGCCCAGTTTGCAAGAAATGCTTGCAGGTCAAACTTTTGTACATTTGATCAGGTATCAGCAAAAAAAAAAAGCCCAAATGCAGATGTATCTAACCTAAGTTAGTTTATCTTATATGACTCTTGTACTTCTTGCAGCTTCACAGTAAAAGCCGTAACAGTACAAAAGCATACTCCCATAGGGTGGATTTGTCCTTTACGCACATTACGTGTAGAACGTATAGACTGGGGAACTCTTGTATGGCACACCTAAAAGGAAACTAATCTTTGAGTTTTCTGGTAAACATGTTATTCATGCTTATCCATAACAGTGAGTTACAGGAAGTTCACTGTCAAAGTTGTGAAACTTGGTTGATAATTTAAAAACAGAAAAATTGGCTGAACTATGATGAAATTCTCCGCTGAGTGATGAAAGTGCTAAAGGGTCACAGTGTGAAACTGTTTTGTATTCATAAGGTTTTAAATGGTGCTCCTTAGGTGAGCTTGTGCATGTCGGTGTCTGAGTGCGTGGTTAGTGTGCCCCGAGGCAACAGAATGGGACTGCAAACACACACACACACACACACACACACACACACACACACACACACACACACACACACACACACACACACACAGATAGATAGACTTTGATTTCCATACAGGTACAGCTCATTTTCCTGGTGTGTGTTTGTGTATCGAATGGCGGGGAGGAGGAGGAGGGCTACAGAGTATAAGGATTAAATTTTCCACTGATAAACAGACCTACAGGCCTATCAGAACCACGGCTGCCAGCAACTGAGCTCATTTGCCCTCAAGGGGTTTGCACGGGTGAGGTCATCCCTCCCTGGAGCTGGACCATTACCTGTAACCTCCACTCACACACACACACAAACACACGCACACACACACAAACACATACAGACTGCATACAGAATTTGACAGCTTTGATTGGACACATGTTGAGTTTTGGGGAATCCCAGATTGTATCA